GACTCCTAAATGACTCAAAACAGGGGGAGTTTAGATCAAAATTGCATTTTTGTACATGATGTACTAGGAAAATATCTGATCTCAGCAATGGACCCAGCTTGAGGTTAGATGTTTGTCCCAAAACTCTGACCATGACCCATTTTTCTATGTCAAAACACTTTTATCTACCAAGGTGACTACTACTGCTGTACAGTATTGCAGGCTTTTGCAGTGACAGAGAGAGACACAATGAGGATAAAAGTAAAAAGAAAACAGGACAAAGGGAGAGCAGAGGGATCAAGATACAAGTGAATGAAAGCAATGGGGATGTCTTTCCATAGTAGCAAGAAAGAGACAGACATCCAAGAAGAAAGACAGACAGCAGAGATCTATTAGCTAATACAACTCATGCAGACAGCATCCTGCTGCTTAGGGTATTGATTTAAGGATATTGCACCGAATGCTGTGTGAGTGAGTGATGGTTAAACTCTGGCTTTGTGCCTGAAGATATATCGTAGTACTACAACAGCTTCCTCTTCAAAGGCAATATTCAGGCTTCCTCTAGTAATCGTGTTTGTGTCTTTATGCACAAACATCTAAATGTTTTTGAGAGATGGTAGATGTAATGAAAGAGTGCAAGTGCTTATTATTCTAATAATTTTCTGATTAAAAAACAATCAATTATAACATAATTGTATGTTCAATTATTAAACATTAGATTTTTTATTAAGAAACGTAAAGGTTGTGGTTTAGGGAAGAGAAGGTAAGCAAACATGATGACCTCCTAAGTAAAAAAAAAAAAAAGTAGGGTTGTGTGTGCTTCAAAAGGACAGCATAATGGAATGTTTCAGCTCAAGACTTGCCAGCAGCACTTTTCCCATACGCCTTGGAGCCAAGACTAGCCCGCCAGCCAAGAATAGTACTAACTCTCTTTCTCACACACAAGCATTCACACTTTTTACTGTTTGGGCGACAGAAAAAAAAGGGATGAAAGTGTGAATAGCTGTCTTGCTCACTTAAAGGAGCACAGTGAAAGAGAAAAATAGCAAAGCTAGAACAAAAAAGGAAATATGAATTTTGTTGATGATTTCTTTGTTGTAGCAAAGCCTCTTGGCAATAAACCATAGGAAAACTTGCTAATATTCCTTTGAATGGTGCCTTGTTTTAAAAGAAAACATCTTTGTGGGTGGAGTAGCAAAGCTGTGCTGTTGGGTTGCACTCATGAAAAATAAATTTGCTTTCTTGCCAAAGCAAAACTATTTTTGGTGGGGGCAGTGTGATGGTGAGGCATGAAATCCTCCTATCCCCACTGGAGGCAGTCTCAGTTCAGACAGATGGTGAGATGAGATTCCACAGTCAGCAGGAATCTCTTCTCCTGAGGTTCCACTGAATGGGTCAGCGCTGTGTCACATACACGCCCTGCTACCGCATCCTCGCCATGCTGATGAAAGTATCGTAGCCACTCCAGTCAGTGAGAGTGCTTCCACCCAGGGAACCACGAGCATCCCCTCTTAAATACGTGGCTGGTCTACTTTTCATTTTGATTCTTCAACTTCACTTCAATCTAGAGTAGAGTGGATTGTAAAGGAAGGAAATCAGTTGCTATAAAGCGAAATGGATCTGATAGAGTTTCAAAGTGAAAGACTGCACGTGCAGAACATGGATCGTATTTTACTCTGAAACATCAGAACAACATTAGCTGCAGCTCCACCACAGAGCTACTAGAGAATCTCATTTCATAAAACAGCGTGGATGAAATGTTTATATGGCACAACTCATCTGTTTTATAAAGATAAAACCAGCTGTCACATATTTTTTTCGTCACATTAAATTTTACATGTGATCGCAGGCATGCGAGACATGGGTTGTACTGGCAAATAACCATTTTATTGTTTTATTTAAAGCCTGCATGTATACTACCATCTCATGATGACGTAATCCTTGCATGACCTAAGTTTATCCACTCTGAAACACTCCAGGGTACAGAAACCTAGATTTTAAAAATAAATCGAATCAAAATACTTTACATTTACCCGGTGTCTGATGCTGCAGGCATTTACACCATATAGTAAATGTTAAGTTATGCGTGTTTGACTACAAATTCTTGGCAGAATGTCTGAACATGAAGAAAAAACAGTGCAGGAGGAACTTTATTATTGGTAGGTAATGCAGACAGAATTAGTTTCCCCTGTGTTGTTCAAGTAGTCTCAATTCCAATCAACTAAACATTGAATTAGTGATGTTTAACTCTTGTTGAAAATTTGAAGATAAGATTTATTATTTCATTATTTAGTTACTGGGTGGCATCACATAAAAAAAAACCCAAATGTAATATGAGTAACAATCAATAAATGAAAGAAGCCACCCTTAAATTTTTTTTTTTTTTTTATCGACTCACTGTATCGACTCCTATCACCAATAACAGCCTAATAACAAATTGTAACAATGATATCAAGAAAAAAGCACAAGTTTACATCCTTGACCTAGCGTGTACTCAGCTGAAACGTCTGTTAGATAATCGCCAGCAGCTCCAAAGCTGCTACTCTCTGTAACTGACCCTGAGATCTTCAGTCTTAGTGGAAGTGAGGAGTGAGAATTTACCCCCCTCAGGATTATCAGTTCTTCACACATAATACATGTATGCTGCAAGAAGTGCAAATGCAAACAAACAAAACAAGAACAGTATTTTGTGGACTCATAATTTAAGGAATGAAACTGCTTTTTGTAGATGCACAGTATCCAGGCACACTGGGTTTTAAGGAACATCTTATCTAATTACAGTGAATTTAGTAAACAAGTAGTGTTATCTATACTAGCTGAGTTTTAGTGGCTGCATTCAGGCAACTAAATGCGCCTAAAACATCTCCATATCTTCAAAGAGCGACTGGTAAAGTGATATATCATATTGTATTGGTCAACTGATTGTGCTGCATGATAAATAATCAGGATTAGATGAGTAAACCACTTACTATATAAGCTGTGCTGTGGTTTTAAAGCTTTAACCAGAAAACAAAACTGAGCTTATGAGCTGCCAGTCCATTAAAATCAAACCCATTTTACTTAACATTCATCTGTGTAGTTCCCAGATTGACGGGTTTATCAGTAGAGCAGAGCTCCTGGCTACACGGAGAACAAGGCTGGAAAGTCCTTGATGCCAGAGCTTATAACATCAGATTAAACATGACAGTCAGACTTACAGCTTTTAGGCTGGAATAGCAGCGTGACAGCAGTTTGTGTGTTAAGACTCAGCAGTGAGCCTTGCCTTGTAGCTGGAGATGCAAGTCAAACTGCAACTAACTTATAGAAGCAAAAAGGGAACTGGATGAAACAGATTTAGCTTCATGGTAAAGATGCCAATTGTTACCATTCTCACCTCATTCAACACAACTGCTCCACACTTCCTTGTTTGTCAGCAGGTGGCACAGGCCATGGAGAGGCTTCCAGACTATATCCCACAATGCAGAACGTGGACTGAGGGACTCAGCACTCCCTGGTGAACAAAAGGAGCAAATGTTAAATGCAATGAGTGTATAAAATGGTTTTCAAAGCATTGATTTGAAAATTTTAAAAGTAGACTCTTGTGAGTCTCAAAAAAAATAACAGCACATTGCAGAATAAATTTGGTGACAAGGCTCAGGATATTTCTGTTTGTCTGCCAGTGAGAGCAACACATAACAAAGCTGTGATTCACAACAAAAAAGTGTGAATTTGATTTCTTTCCTTTAAGAAACGTTGCAGACAAAAGCCACATTTCTTAAAGGAAAGAAAGAGTATTTTGCGTCATTACCTTTTCCAAATACTAAAAAGCACAAACAACTCCATATTGCACAAGAAAACATATTTGTACTAAAAATTCCTTATTATTTGATATGGACTTTTACAACTGCGTATCCAGCAGGTAAAATAATATAATGTGGACCTTGCAGTCAGTAAGGAATGAGGAACATTTATCTGGCCACAAAAAAAAGGTTTGTACATTTAGTTTGATATGCTGCTTTTATTTTCCACTATAAAGATAAAAAAGGAAGATTTGTGGGCAAAGCATTGTAAGATATAAAACAAATTGCTTATCTTCCACTGTAAACTAACAAGTTATTAACGTTGGTGAATTTGTTTTTTCCCTCAAGCAGGGGGATACGGGGCACAGAAAAGTCTAAATTAAAGAGGAGACAATGGAGGGAGCAGACAAATCACTGCAATTTTCTAAATCTTTAACAACTGTTTTAGGCAGACAAATGTATTTTTGCTCTGGATTTGACAGGATTCCACTATAATATAGATGCAAACAAAACCACTGAACCCAGCAATTTGGAACAATTCATGCCTTGTGTTGCCTTCATTTGCAAACACTGCTTTTACATTAGTGCTTAAGAAAAAAAAACACGCTTATTTTGATGTACGCATCCCGAGAGGCTTTCTGCAGCTGGTATTTTATATGCAATCAGTGAATTACACACAGGTGACATCCCTCTGTTGCGTTCCTATAGCAATGCATAAAAATGCAATATGATCTGTCTGTTTGCACATTTCACAAATGCACCCTCAGACAAACCTTCCAAAAATAATGCATACTTGTTCATTAAATGTGGGCATACTGTATCAGAGCAAACCAATACTATTTAGTCTTTAAGACTATTGAGAAAAAAGATTTAAAACTGGTTTGCCTACAATTATCAATAGCACACAGCATGGTAAACTTGTGGATCATACTTCAATGTACAAATGAAATACTCTGCTTAACTTCATGTTATGATAAAATGCGTCATGTTTTAGGATGGGTGCAGGTTTTATGTTGTATTTGAGTCCTTCACTTAGTCTCCATCATTCCATTTTCCCTTCTCTTCATTATCCTCTGTTTACCACAGTGGCTTCTGATGTCATTAACTTTAGTATGTGCTGTAAGTTGTTCACTGTTTTCCTGCAGGATCCTCCTTCTGAACTGCCTTCTACAGAGGCCATGACGTGTTCTCCTTGGGTCTGGTTTTAAGTTTAACTCTTTATCATTAAGTAGTTTATTATATAATGTTGTTGAGTTTCTGTCAGTGTTTAGGTCATGCTCCAAACCCTCAAATCATAACACCCATGGTTACTATTGCAGAACGCGCCCTGTGCACTTTGTTCGGCACCTTTTCCCCTACTCTACCTTTAACACCTAAGTAGTTTCTCTAGCTATATTTTATATTCTCTCCATATAATCTAAATAGCCCAGTTCTTTTTAAAAAGCTATTCTATTTGCCTTGGCTGTAAATAAAGTGATATTCAACAATCAGGGGAAAGTGTGCCAACGTTGGACAAGCTAAGAATGCACTAGGTAATATCAAAGTTGTCATCTAAGAGGGAAGAGATTGTAAATTGTAAATAGTTGGACTTTAGCGCATTAGTACAACTCTTGAGGAACTTAAGAAACAACTATACTTTGACCTTATATCCATATTAAACCATAATGAGAGCACTCACAGTTTTGCACGTCAATATTGGTTTAATAGTTAAAGGTTAGGGGTTATACCTTTTTACAATCAAGCAGTCTGTGAGGCTTGTCTGTCAGCCTGCTTTATAATCCTGGATGTGTCTGAGGGCTGGATTGTTTATCATAAAAGTCATATTGTTGATATCTGCACTATTACATATTTCACTCTTGGGAATTAGGCATGGTGAATTAGTGCAATTTAAGCCTACCAACCACTGATATTTAGAAAGAAATTATGAACAGTGAGAGTTCAAGAGGATTATCCCACCAGGAACCTAGCTTTGAAACAGACTGCACTATTTAATGCACATATAGTGCACCAAAGATGTCCCTCACTTATAGGCATGTCCCTCATATGCAAAAAAGGGTGATATGTCAAAGCAGATATTTACAGCTAATCTTCAAAAGGTTGCATATCCTTTTTACTCAACTTGACACCAAACCATCCTGTTCCTATTCTAGCTCGGTAAAAAATAAGTGAAACTTCAGTAATAAAGAATGCCAAGAATTTTATTTTGTACTTTCTTCAAACTTAGAAATTGGCATAATTGTGCATTAATTTGTGCAACTGGCTTTAGATTGTAAAGTTAATTGTTGCATAACCTCCCACAAACTTAACTTTGCATTTCTATAGTCCCTTTGAAATTAACTTGGTGATATGTCAGGGCAATTTCCATTTATAATGCCTGTTTTTGACCAAATGTTGGCTTAATAGCTAATTTATATATAAAGTGCTTATTTACAGCAAACACTCTCTTAAGGTGTTTCTTTTTTTATGTTGTTGCTTTAATGCTTCCAGACAATGCTTCTGCTAATATAATCTAAAATGTCTTATTATACAAGGATTACAGGCTTCATCCTTTTCTTCCAAAGGTGATTCTATCCAAACACTCCAAATTTAGTTTCATGAGACAACGGGACTTACTTCCATGTATGATGACTGTTGTTCATGATTGCTATCTGGTTTTTATGTCATATATTGAGTAATGGCTTCTTATTCACTGAATGGCCTTTCTTCCAGTTAAATAGTTGACTCATTTAACTGCGAAAAAGATGCTCTCTTCCCAGCTTCAGCCAGCAACCTACTGTAACACGGTTTGGGTTCTGTGATTAATACATACTGTACATTTATTGAAAAAGTATGTTAGTCCCCAGTACACAATATCTGCCTCCTCCCTCAACAGTATAAATGTTAGTGATTACCATTGTATTTATACTTGTATATATTAAGTGAAGAGAGAACTCCCACATACACCGTAACAGACAGAGCAGGTTACCATCGATGGCGTACACATACTCTGTGGGACTAATTAATCTGGTTGTGTTGGAAATGTTGTGAATGTTACAGAGGATACAAGACACAAACTCCCTGCTGTTAGTCAGCTGCAGCAAGTGTGTGCCTCCGAATGTTTAAGGGATGCCAAACATCCTACTGACCCACTTTTTCTGAGTGTGACAAAGAAAAAAAAAATTGGTGAAGTGGGAGTAAATGTAGGCGACTCTCTTTCTGTTCTAATGTGCCCTTAAAGGCAACTGGGGTAGGAGTTACAGTTCGAAGGATGCATTAGTGACAGCCTTTTATGCACGCTTTTATAATATGCATGATGACTCAATTCTACAAAGGGCTGATAGCTGCTGTGAGCACAAAATACAACAATGGAAGAGTTAGGCAGAGAGAGAAACAGAGAGAATGAATATCCAATGTCAGATGTGGGAAAATCAATTGGATTCTGTGGCAGGCTTTAGCGAGGAGCTGAACTAAAGCCTTTACATGAATTACAATGGCTGCACACAGTAAACAGAAGGGTTTGAGTGAACTAAATTGTTTGCATAGAGAAGTCAAATAAAAAAAAATGCAACTACTGAGGCGATAGATTGACAGACATCAACTGGTGAAGGAAACCATCAATAGTATTAAAAAAGACAAGATAAAGACACAAAAAAAGAGGCTGCAACAACAAATTGAAAGGAAGTGGCAAGAAATGAAGAGGAAATCCAAAGCGACAGAGAAGGACAGGTGGCGAGAAATGAGAGTACAGAAAGGGAGGAATAGGATGGCAATGTACTGGCAGGCAGTGAGACAGAGAGAAACAGATGGTGGCAGAGAAGAGGCAGATACAAACTCACTGGGAGAACAACACTGGCACAGCCAGCAAGGCACAGCGGGGAGTATAAAAAGCTGAAGAAGGTCAGCAAAAAAGGGCGGAGGAAGATGATAAGGAGGGAGCAAAGCAGGACAAAGACTCAGTTGTGCATGGCAAAATGTTCAGCAACTTTTAGAAAACCAAAAAAACACAAGCCACACTTAAAAATGGCACTCTGACTGATATCTCACTGAAATAAAACATTTGTTTTGCTTGTAGGACCACATGTAGGTAGTTACCTTAGATAAGTATTGAATCACGTTTTCATTTAGTTCATTTCATTTTAGAATTGGACAATCAATCAACTTCAAATCTGCAGAGTTTCACTTCTTAACTTACCGACGTATGCATCACCGTCCAAGAGTTCAGTTAAGATTACAAGACTTAAATTACAGACTTAGATTCAAACTTTCATCAGGTTAATAATCTCGATCAATGGATCAGACTGGTATCGCTTAGGACACAACAGAACAATGTAAAATTGAGAGATTTTGTTTATATATTGTAAAAAAAAAATTTATCAATTTTTTATACTGTAAAAAAATTTATAAAAAAAAGTCATCTTAAAAGTTTTTAATATCATTCTCAATAATAAATGGGAAATGTTTTTAATTAGAGACTACCTTTTTGCATTTTACCACAGGCCTATTAGTAGCTTAGCTTTGGTGATCCAAGCAGTTGACGTTTGATGGGCCTCCTTACCATCATCATCATAATTCTAAACCTCCCTCCACAATCTTTATCAAAATCAGGTCAGGTAGAACTCTTTTCTTATTTCAGTCGAATAATATGGAATAATACAAAGCAAAAGAGTAATCCTGCCTCTGTTCAGGCGGATATATAATGCTGCATCTTTGCTATAACTGTTATAGATCTGTG